GATCATTAATTCTTTTATAATTTGTAGTCTTTTTAATTAAAAAAAAAGAGATTTTTTTTCAAGGAGGAGAAATACAGAACTCATATCATATAAGCATACCCAAGCAAAACAAATTCTTACATTGACAAAGTTCAAAGAAGCATTTCTCATTCTGCATATTAATTCAGCATCTCTCTTCCATGAATTATGCAGCATTTTTTATCTGTCCTCTTGAACTGGCTAAGTCATAGAGAGGTCAAGTGACTATGCCCATGATCATAAAATTAATATTTATGCTGACACAACTTAAATTCAGATCTTCCTGAATCCAAAGCCAACCTCTCTTCACTATACAAAACTGGTTCTCTTTTGCTGATGATGTACAAATTAAAAGTTTATTAAATGCCAACTACGTACAAGGCGTTGAGTTGCATGATGGGGATACAGAGACAAAAAAAACAATCATTGGGCAAAAAAGCTTTATTAAGCAATTATAATGTGGCATGTACTGTAATTACCATTATGATTATAAAGAAAAAGATAAAACAATACAGGACCCCCGCCCTCCATGGATCTTGTATATACCTGTTGTCTGCCCCTTGAGATATCTTATAGTCTAATGGTGGAGATAACATGTACATACAATATCCCCATCAGACGGCCTTTTTTGCATGGGAACAGCATGTGTAAAACCATGAAGATGGAAGCTGAAATGCAAGTTGGGACAGAACTACTAGGCCAGAGTATGTGAAGGAGCTGAACAAGGAGTAAGTTGGGAAAGGAAGTTGAGAATCAAATTGTAGAAGCCTTTAAATTCCAGGCATAAAAGGGTGTATTATATCCTAAAAGCAAAGAGTAAACATTTCTGAGTAGGAAAGTAACCTAGTGAAAGCTGTGCTTTAGGTGCATTAAGGTGATAGCTGTATGAAGGCTAGATTGACAAGGGAAGAAATTAAAAGCAGGGAAGACCAACAAAATTGGCGCACCAGTCCAGATTAGAAATGACAATGTCTAAACTAAGGAAGTAACTTATGAGGGGAGGAAAAGGGATGGATTCAAGAGCTGTAGCAGCAGAATTCACAAGACTCCTCAACTAATTGAAAGGTAATAGCATTTCCAGTAACATCTGACTCTTCGTGATGCCACTTGGGGTTTTCTTGGCAAAGATACTGGAGTAGTTTGCCATTTTCTTCTCCAGCTCATTTTACAGATAAGTAAATTAAGGCAAACAGAGTTAAGTAACTTGCTCGGGGTCACACAGCAAGTAAGTGTCTGAGGCCAGCTTTAAACTCAGGAAGAGTTGTCCTGGCTCCAGACCCAGCACTCTATCCACTGTGCTACCTAGATACCCTTTGAATATGAAAGCTACCATTTATATGGAGCTTTAAGATTTGCAAAATGATTCACATGTGCTATCTCATTTGATTCTCATACTAACTCTGGTGGGAGAGGGATTGGGGCATGATAGATAGCTATTACGCACATTTTATAGACAAGGAAACTCAGACTGAGGGAGATTAGGTGACTTACCTGAGGGCACATGGTTCTAAGTGTTTGAGGCAATATTTGAGTTATGATCTTCCTGTTTCTAAGTCCAATATCCACTTAGATGCCAATGAATATAGGGGAAAGTTGAGGATTACTGTAAGGTTTGAAAACTGACTGGGTATCACAAAGGTAGTATCACAGAAATAGGGTAGTTGGGAGGAGGGGTAGGTTTAGGGAAGCATAAAATTCCTCTTTTGTTTTACACAGTGAGTTTGAGATGACAATGAAACATTAAGATGGAGATGCCTAGCAAGTAGATGAGCAAATGAAACTAGAGTCCAGGAAAAAAGATTAAATGTTTCATGGGGGGTGGGATTCCTTTTCAGGTGTTGATTAAACTAGTTGACCCCTGAGGTCCCTTCTAATCCTATTCTGTAATTAGAAAACCACTCTGGTTGTGTCCATTTATCATCAAATTAAGATAAATATGTAATGATGCCTAAAGAATACAAAAGACTTGTCTGTCGCAAATCTCCTCCTTGTTTCAAATATTCAGGCTTTTAGTATCAAGGCAAAAGAGTAAAAACAAACAGAAAACATGTAAATTTATCTTTCAAAGACTTCATTTAAAAAAAATCCCCCATCAGTCAGACACTCAGCTTTGATTCATTGTTTCATCCACATATGTTTTAAGATTTCCCTTTTTGCTTACTCTCTTTAACATTGCTATAAATCCAATTCCTCTCATTTGCACTGTCTGTTGGCTGCATTCAGTCACCCATTTGGATGTGTTTGAACTCATTAATCTGATATGTGTGATTCTTAAATGGAAACTTTTATTTCTCATTTTTGAAGACAGAGGACCATGTAGCACGGTCACCTGCTCTTATATCAAGGATGATGGCCTTGGCTTCTCAGCAGCATGGAAGTTTACTTAACATAGAGTTAATGCCCCCAGCAGGAACATGTTTTATTGTCTTCCATCAGTGGGACTCTCATGTTCAGATACGAAGTCAGTCTGTGTACAGTCAAGTTATGAGCATATGTGAGTGTAGGTATCCTTGGTTTAACATGATGTCCATGAAAAATCAGCTTTGTACCTAAGAATATCTTTGTGTTTTCATTTTCCCAGAAAGGAGAGGGGAACACACGATAATCACACATTTTGACTTAAGGAAGAAACAAAACAAAGAGTTTAAAAGCCCCTCCTTTCTTGGGAAACCATTTCAAAATTATCATTAAAAATATCAAAAGAAACAAAAATGCTTAGACCAAAGTAGTGCCCACTTTGAGGCCCCTATTTACTAAAATCAGGATGCTACAAAAGCAAAATAAATCAATGTTGAGCATACAGGGCATTAACCTCATCACTGCAACAAATTGAAATTTAAAATGCTTTATTTGCTACAAACCTACACTACCAAACAGCATTATTGATATAATTTTGTGGAACAGAAAACAAGAATGGTGCACTTTTTTTCCAGAAAAGTTTCATAATCCCTTTTTTTCTTCCTGATAGAAGCAGTGATATATACCTCCTTTAATGTGAGTTCATTAAATGAATAACAGAAGGTTATGAAAATGTGAGGCTGCTGAAACAATTTTTTTTTGAAATAGCCTATTTGGTATCTCGAGTATCCATACATCAAAGACATTGGCTCTCACCCTGTGATGAGAAATGCCAAATATTCTCTGGAGTACCATGCTTGAAAAAGGTGTTTAAGAGCTTGCCACTCATTTACAGGAATTACCTTTTGATGCGCAATAAAAAGTAGAAAAAATTACCTTGATGTCATTCTTTTCAGCTGCCATGGTGGAAATAGGCCTTATCTAATAGTTTGGTATGCACAGAAAACAAAATGTATTCTAATGAAAGAATTCACTGAAGTGATTATAAATGCACTGGCCCTTTTCAATTCCTCTCCAGATTTCATAAATCTCCAACAACCTGGATTTTTCTCTTAGCCTTTATTGCAGAAGGCTAATTTCTGCTGCTCTAAGGAGGGTAAATTTATTCCAGGAACAAACTGCAGGAGCAGCCCTTCTTAACTCAAGCGGCACAGATTAAGCAGAAAGAAGCCCATTAAATGCCACCTTCCATTTTAAGGGATCATTCAAAAACAAGTCATCCTGGGTCTCCACTCCTATTTCTTGCACTGACAGGCTGATGTAATGTGCCTCACTTGTCAGAGGCAGTCAAGGAGCCAGAGCTGAGTGAACTGATAGTGATCACATCCCCAGTGGACTGGCAAGGCTCAGGCTACATGCCCCATTGCTCAGCTTTCTGGTTAAATCACCTTCCCTTGGTCCCCTGATAAGCCAGATGAATGTCTGCTCCCCCTCCCTGCAAGCTCAGAAGGTACAAGCAAAAATACCAGGCTATATTAATGTATCTTCCTAAAATCAAATTTTACAGGCCCCTCTTGGAGTTTTGTTTTATATGTGGTAAGAAGAAATTCTGAAATCATTGGTCCTGCAACAAGGTTTGGCTCTGCTTGAAAATAATTAAGGCAATAATCAGAAATTATAGTGCAATGGAAAGATCATTAACAAGCCTTGGAATCATGGGACCTTATTTTGAATCTGTGCTCTGCCACATAAATGAATGGCAATAGGTAAGTCCCTTAACATCTATGGGCCTCCATTTGTGTATGTATAAAACGAAGAGGGAGAATTAGATGGAATCCATGGTCTAAACTCGAGATCTGCAACTCTATCTAGCTCTTTGGGATTTGAACCATGTTTTATATACTTTATCTCGATTCATCCTCATAACAAATCAGGGTGTCAGGTGCTATTATTATCTCCATTTTACAGATGAGGAAACTGAGGCTTAGCTATTAAGTGATTTTCCAATGGTCATATAGTTAACAGGTACCTGAGGTAGGATTTGAACTCAATTGTTCTTGATTCCAAGTCCAGCACTTTATCTACCATAGATTAATTAGGGGATGATTTTTAATTTTTTTAAATAACTTACTATAAGTCTCTTTTAAGAGACTCCAGCTTCTCTAACGTTCATTCAACATGATTTGCAAAGCAAGCAAAATGCCCCCCACAAAAGTGGTAAATTTTAAGCACGTGTGTTGCATAAGAGGACCTAGATTTACCTGGGCTTAGTTTTCATATTATTCACAGATTTAAAGCTGGAAGAGACATCAACAATCACCTAGTTCAACCCCTTCATTTTACAGAAGAGGAAGCTGGGTTCCAGTGAGTTTAAGTGACTGTGGGTTCTCCACAGTCAACCTACAGATAAAATCACAGTAAATAGTTGACTACAATGAAATTCCTTCTCTAAGCCAAGACCAAACCACCAAATCAAGGCAAAACCTTTGTCAGAACATATGGAATCTTCTCTAATTCTTTCTGCTGGGAGTCAAAATAAAATGGTTCCCCAACGGTGCATAAACTGAATAAGCTTAGAAATCATTTGTGTAATTGGTGACAATATTCCTCGTGCTCATTGATGTGATGAGGCTAAACTTTCACTATCCCATGTGTATGTTTGTCATTTATCCCCTTCTCCTCAGGTGCAAAGAAGGCTACCAAGGAGTCCGCTGTGATCAGTTTTTGCCGAAAACCGATTCCATCTTGTCGGATCCAAGTACGTCCAATGTTTTGTTTTGTTTTGTTTTGTTTTTTTTTCTTCTTTTTCTTATGTCTATAATGCACATAATGGGCAACCGCACTCTATGACATAGACTTAGAATGCAAGATGAGTTTCTTGCAGTGATGTGTAATGAATGATTTTTTTGTTTTTTTATAAATCCACCAAAAGTTGGGCCAGAGGGCACCCAGCCTGTAGACTCTTACTTTGAGTTAGGAGGAAATTTCCCTTTTCCTCTTCACTAGTTCTAGTAACTGCTCAAACTCCTACAAATTGTTCAGCCTACTTGGCCCACCTAGATAATTTAGTGATTTATCTGGTGTGGGAATATCCTCCAGTGAGGCAAATTGAAAATTATCTGTGACTGAGCAAATGAGTCTTAGTGAGTTTCTGGAGTCCTGTAGAGGTAAATGATCACAAAATTTTAAGTGTCAGAATCAGAATACAAATCTTTACATTCTAAGTTTAATACTTAATCTCACACTGCTTCTCAACTAGAAAATAGGATTTTGAAATATTCTTCCTACCATCAAAAATAAGTAAGTGGTACGGGTATATAATATGCAATAATTCCTGTGGAGAAAATGTAGTGTAGTGGAAAAAGCAATGGATTTAAAACCAAAAGACCCAGGTTCAGATTCCACTCTGCTACTTACTATTTGTGCTTTATTCTCTACAAACAAGTTATTAAAAGAGTATTAACTTTACAAAATAATTCACCGCGGGCCTCTTTAGATAACCCCAAAGTTCCTTGGACAAGCCCCTTAGATCAATGTTCTTTGAATTTCCTTGGCTTTAAAATGAGGAAATGAGACTAGATTTTAGCTCTAAAACAATAATCTTGTTGCTTGGGCTGGCACTGATGTGTATATATTATAAGATGCTCTTGAGTCTTTTTTTTTCTTGTGCATTGCGGCATGCAGTGGAAAGAGGATTGAACATCAAGTTAAAATATCTGGGTGTCGGTATTGGCTCTTACATTTACTAGATAATAGAACTGAAAGCTGAAGAACTTTATCCCTACTAAGATACTGTGACAGCCAATTTAATTATTACATAAAACTTTATTAATTTAGATCCACCTTTTTTGGCATTTTTACTCATCGCAACTGGAATAGAGCTTAATCTATGTATAATATGCTAAGGAAATTAATAATGTAAATGCATTTGTAGTGTTGAGATTTGAGCAAATTTTGGGAACCAATGGCTTTTGTTCACTTCATTTTGATGAAAGGCTTTGAAGCCTTGACTACCAATGGTTAATGCAATAGTTACAAATAATTAATATGCCAATTATATTTTTAATATTCAATCAATGAAAGAAAGGCAAGACCTTTACTAAAGAATACTAGTCATTTACATGTGTAACCATATGCATTAAAATTATATGTGTATTAAGTAATACAATTATGTATTTTTAAAGTATTCTTTAATTTAGACTTTAACTAATGTGAATGGGACTTATACTCAAAAGTGAGGATTTACTAAAGCTACAAAGCATCATGAACTCTTCAAAGAGCTGGGATATAATTGTGTTGCCTAGCATATTTTCTTGCAAAAATAAATAATTCTTAAGCATTTTTTTATTTCACTGATACTGGAGTATTTTTAAGTCATTTAAAAATATTTCTGAGGCATAAAAAACATCCTCTTTCAGAATAGCAAGTGACCCATCTTGCAAAAACTAAACATCAGTAATATATATGGAATTCTTTAATAAAGATTAAATATCTTTTACATAGTATTCCCTTAGTACAGTAAGTGGTTGTTGAATTGAATTGTATGTAGACATATGGGTTTGTGTCTTTCCTGGTAATGACCGCTTGGATATTAGAAATAGTCAACTTCAGGTTCATTTTCATTTATTGCTCTTCATTCATGAAGAGCAGTAAACTAATACCCAGGGAGGTCAATTGT